AATCCAATGAGGACTCTACATGGAGGAGTAAGAGTCCTACTAGGATTATGCCACGCGGAACCTATAAACGCTCACAACATCACCTTTGGAGAGGTAACACACAACTTTGACTCCAGAATTCACAGAGTTTTTTTGTCTGTTTGTCTATTTTGCTGACTTAGGCATCGGAGAGGTATCCGGCACACACCCGCCGGCTAGCTCACATTTGTATTTTCAGGGAGTAAAGCGACGACGTACGGAGGAGCGCAGACTTGATCAATAGGATTATACGGAAAGAATATTTCGTACCCGTACGTAATTGGTGAAGTCTATTTTGTGGCACATGGTATTAAGAGAAATGACAAGAATGACCAAAGGAAAATATGCTATTAAAAAGAATATGTTTGGAATATCTTAAAAAACATCTAGACGTACTTGGTCTCTAATAAAAGATTTGCTATAAGCACACGTTCCTATGGGTAATTATTCAGTATTTCCGGAGTATGGACACGTGATACTCCATAAAGTTTTGATTGGTGGAGAGACACATGGACCCACGATTTATGTTGAAAATGGAGGGACAACATGGGACTAACACTGTGGGAAATCTGAGTTTTAGCGGCGTTTTAAAAACGCCGCTAAAATCCTGAAAAACGCCGTAAAAACTTAAAGCAACGTTTAATATTTTCGTTGCTGATACGGCCGCCGCTATAGCTTTGCAACGTTCGAAAAACGTTGCTAAAAATATTAGACGGCGTTTTTTAAAACACCGCAAAATCTTCAACGTCCATCTCCCCTTCCGTCACAAACTAACGTGTGACGTCACGATGACGTCATTTAGTGGCGTTTTTCAAAAAACGCCACTTTCCCCCCCCCTCATGCGCCGCTACAAGAATATAAAATAAAATACCTTCTTTTTTCTTTTTTTTTCTGTGCTGTTGTTGCTGCTGCAAGAATATGGAATAAAATACCAAATTTTATTTTATTTTATTTTTTGTGTTACTGCTGCTGCAAGAATATGAAATAAAATACCAAAGTTGGCATTCTCTGTGACCATATATAGTTGCTGTAAAATAAATATTATTGTGCACTACAAAGTTCATACTACAATTTTGGAAACAGGGTATAAACCAAAGAATTTAACTAATTGCACATTTCATGAGATTTTTACTACACAAAATATATCACATTGATCTTCCAAAGTATATCACATAATAAAGATATTAAAAAGCCTTTCTTGAATGACAAACTACAACTGTCATTATCTGCAAAACAGAGACAGTTTATTACAGAAAACCGATATGAGTCCTTGTGATGTTGCAGAGAACTTGATACCAAAGACTGCTTCAAAAGAGACTTGCTTAAACGAACTGATTGAAGCTCTCAACAAAGCCAAGGAAAGCACAAAGTTGAAAACTGAGAAAGAAGTAAAAAACAAAAAGTTATCATCAAAAGCAGCTAAAAAAACAATCATGTATGGATGCAGATGATTGGAAGGCTAAGCAAGGAAAAATAAAAGAAACAATGATGGTAGATGGTAGGATTGCATGTTTTTCTTGTTCGTTACCTCTAAAAATAAGAAAGTATAAAAGTTGTTTAACTAATGCAATGATGTAGCACATAAGCCAACACGTTTATTAAGATGCATAATATCTACATGAGGGTTTTGAATAACTTCGAAAAATACAGGTAATGTCACCTAGTGACAGCTACTGCTACATAATGAACTTAATTTAAGGAAAGAGGTAAAACTTTGAAAAGCGAAAAAGAAAAGGAAAGGACAATGTGAATTAAATATAACCTCCCTTTTTTTCTTTTTCTTTTTCTTTTTTCTATTTCCCTTTCTTTTTGCAAATTTTTGCAAATCCTGTCCAAATCCATCCAGAACCAACAAGGTTTTTCCCTCTTTCCTCCTACCCCATTCATTGGGTTGTAGGTATTTTGACCAAAATATTTGTATCTTTTTATGAAATATATCAAATAAAATTGTTGTTCATTGATAATCATGCAGCAAAGTACATTCGTTTTCATACCATCTCTCTCTTTTCTTTTCTTTTTTTTCCACTACTGATCCAATAGAAACATCTTGATTTTGACCCCTTAATTCTTTGAAATGGATGGTTTTATAGAGTTCAACAAACCCTCCAATCTTCATTTTCCCATCAGACACTTTTCTAACAGGGGCTACATTTGAGTGCAGCTATTCAATCTTAAAGTGTAAGGAAACGGCCTTACCAATTGAATCTCTTCTCAAAGCCATTAAATCAGCACAACTGCGAAAAAAACATTCAGTCATGGTTATTTCTACTGAAGTGAAGATTGGAGAAAATAGCTACATAAATGCAATACAAAGATTTTAATCAATATGACATTCTCTATCTTGAGAGGAATTTGCATCTGTAAACAAAGGAAAACAAATTCTATACATAACAGGGTAAAGAGTAATAAAAACTCTAAAGCAGCAGCTCTCATGTTTATACAATGTTTTGGATAATTACTTTCCCAACAACTAAATCTCAATATGACACATCATTCCAACTTTTGTTTGAAAACCAATTAAGATGGGCAGAAGTCAAAGAAACAGTCAGTTCTTTCAGTGGAACGACCACAATAAGCCACAAGAGAGAGAGAGAGAGAGAGAGAGAGAGAGAGAGAGAGAGATATGCTAGAACCATGACCAAAGAAATCATCCAGGAACAAAAAATAAGAATTGATTTCTTTTTCTTTTTTTTTTGTGATAAATGAGAATTGACTATTTACACTACCTGTTCAAAGCCTTCCCAAGATCTGCACAAAGAGATCAAACAAATGTCCCCTTTGAGCATGTCACCCGGAAAATCAAATTTTGTCTGCAATAAATAAGACAAACTTACAAAAACAACAAGATTATTGCTACTTGATAGTATGTAACATATCAACTTCATCAGTCAATGTCTTTTGTTAGTTCATATAGACACTTTTCCTAATATGCATAAACCATACACATAAATTATATCTATGTTTCCCACTAATGAGGGAAAGGTTCTCAAAAGTTCCTGAATATTAATTTATTTCATTTTCAAACTGCGTTTGATCTAATTTTCAAAGGGTAATCACCAATGTGAAATTATTTGAGCACAATTAGCATGACATTTATTTGTTTTTATCACTGAAAGAAAGAATTGCAATGATTCAAAATAAGATCCATCTCAGGATAGCAGAACCACCATATAAAAAACCCACAATTACTACATGACAACATTAATGTGATAAATAGGTTATACAGAAGCAACAAGCTAAGCTTCAGACAACCTGTCATCTAAACTTTGCTCGATATCAAAATGGAAAATTGAAATCCACCTCAGTGAAAATCCAATGCTTTCTCATTTTCTTGCTTTTTCATACATCTTCTCACCCCCAACCTATCACAAGATGTAGAAACATATAAGCAATCATACAACCACACAATGCCATTTCAATACCATATCATTGTCACACATAATTCTAAGGAACATGAAGGAAAATATGAATTATATACCTTACAAGCAATAGATACAACCTAAAATTTTTGAGAAATTTCCTGTTACATTTATGTGCAATTTCTATTTTATGTGCCATACCATAGGCCCTGTGAATAACAACGCCCACTTAGTACACATTAATGTGTGTTTGGGAGGGTAAAGATTGAGTCCACACCTAACCTTTGGCATAATACACGGATGTGTATTATCAATACTAGTTAATGCCACACGGATGTGTTTCATACATTTTTTTCTCAAATTCTAGGCAAAAAGAACACAGCTGAATTCAGGTTGCATTCATATTTGTATCTTACACCCTCTGACAAGCAAAGGGTCTGTGTGTGTGTGCTTTTACCATTTTTTGTTCTTCCTGTTTGCCTGGTTTTTTTCATTTTTTGGTTATGTATCAATACTTCATCTCCATCATGCTACAATAACCGGGTCTATATATCCAAGTAAACATGAAGCAAAGCAATATAAAAAAAAATTCTGTTCTTCTCTGTTTAACACTGCTACTGGCAATGCATTTTGACTTTAGTGCATATCTAGTTTCAAAATGGCAGTGTGCATGCTCCCACCCTTGTGATGTTGCGTCCAAAAGGTTTACAACTTGTTCATGTAACATAAAGTCAAACTTAAGTAACTAACCTATATGTAACTTTACTTAACTGAACTGCGCTATAGGCAACCATCTACATCCAAATATTGTCAAAGTTCAATTATATTCTTTATGTTTTAATACAATATAATATGCAATTGATGCCAAAATTTAGTCTCAAATGAAGTAACTTAGCTAAATGTAACCTCACTACAACCATATGCACTATGCGTGATCATCAACATCAAAATACTATACAAGCAATGCCAAAATTGAGCCAATATGAAATCAACACAAAAGCCGAAGAAGAAAGTTATATCTCAAAAATACCTTATTACACCATAAGCAGGGACAAAAAAGGTTGAATGAAAAAATCAAAAGGATGCAACAGTTTTCTTTATGTCCTCCTATTTGATGTGTTACCATGGCTCACATTGGATGACCTGAATAAGTGGGTGGTGTAAGATTAGAGACATCGAAATGGAATGACAAATTTTTCAGGACAACAATTCTATAAAGGCAACAAAAATGTAAGCCTCATCCTAATAGACTGTCAATCAGCTTACAATGATCCAAAAATACATAAGATAGAGTGGGCCTTTCATTTGTTTTTTGTGTTTTTTGTGCCTTTTTTTTTGTGTGTTTTTTTTCTTTTTTTTTTGTCATTTCATTCTTTCTGCATATAAACTAAAAAAGTCTATGGAGATCAACCCAATTAAAACCATATTTGAGGTTTCTAGAGAACTATTGTCCTTTTATCTAATTTTTTAAATAATACTCCACCTCCCTGGAACATGAATAAATATAAATGGATCCTCCATCATTAGTTTCTCTTTAAGTGCATGTAGTTGCTAGGTTTCTATGCTAGCTATGTCAGGTTGAAGGAAAAGTGCATTGAGTCATTATCTCACCGCAATTCTAAATTTCTGAATGTGACACTGTTTCTTGAATTCCAAAGAGTCCACACTATAACAAAGAAGATGGTCTCCCAAATTGTGGTAACCTTCAAAAATTCCATGGTTTTCCCCTTTCCAAATTAAACAATCCTTCTATCCCCTCAAGATAGAGCTCATACTCAGACTCTGCAAAAGATTATTCAACACATCATGTTCCCATTGAAAGAGATTTATCCTAAAATCCAGTTTCCAACCATTACCATTTGACAATGAGAAAATAGAAAATGAAAAATGTACCTGAGATAAGAGCAAGAGAGATCAACTAGAACAAATCGATTTTGGATTTTGGATCTGCGATTTGATGAAGAACAGATCAATTTTGATGAAGAACAGAAACAGAAACACAAACACTAGCAGTCTCAACAAGTTAAAAACCAAAATGAAAACCAAAATAAATTTTAAAAAAAAACACAACCACAAACACTCTAATAACAAAATCAAAGATGATAATCCAATATTTTCTAGTTTTTGTGTGTGTGTGGAAATAAAGCTATTGCATATAAATGTGTGTATATATAGGTAAGTAAATAACATAAATAGATTCAAACAGAGAAGTAGGTGAAGGTGAATTGAGATGAATCAGACGAAGAGAGAGATAAGCAAACCATTGATGAGGACATGAGATTCGCAGTGCTTGCAGTAATATACGAAGAGATCGGATTCTGGACTATCTGGTGCCACGTCCTCACTCGATTAGCCTCGAGATCGATGAAGAACAGAGATCGTTGCGATTGATGAAGAACAGCTAAAGCAAACTGCTGCGGTTGAGTTCTGTGTGCTTGAGCTTCAAATCGAGGGTTGTTTGAGCTTCGATCAACATTGATGAAGAACATACAACGCAAAATCTGCAATTGAGCGAGCGAGCGAGAGAGAGAGTCTGTGTTTGAGCTTCAAATCGAGGGTTTTGGAAGAGAGAGAGAGAGAGACAGAGTGTCTGTGCATTTGAGCTTCAACTCCGGGTTGCAGAAGAGGCAGAGAAAATGAGAGACGGAGTCTAAGACAGTGTTAATAAATCGACTCAATACGACGTCATTTAACGGAAATCAAAGACAACGTTTTCAAAACGCTGTGTTTAATGAATCTATAATGGCGTTCCCTTAAACGCCACAAAAAAAAACGTTGCAATATGCCTTTTTTTTAGTAGTGTAACTAATTGATGATTAGTTTGAAATATGCACATATAGTGCTCCGAGAGTATTAAATATTTTTTCCATTCCTAGGACTTAACGTATGCCATAATTCACCACTCAAACTCTTACATTTAAAAACAGCCTAAAGAATACGAGGTGGAAGGAAAGAGTCAGTGCTAAGATTTTTCAAACTTGTGAAAACCATTTTTCAGGATAAAAGGAATATCACATGATAAGATTAAATGGTATGTATCTAAATTTATTTTAATTATTTAATTTAATCATATTTATATGGTGTTTAAAGTCTAGATATATAGATCTTATAAATCTTACCGGTGATATCAGACCTCCTAGGATTAACACCGTAAAATTTTAACACATACATTCGTGACTCAATTTTGTCATTGTATTGAATGTTATTGATTTGTTTATATGGTTTTTATTTGAAACAAAGAAAGTAATAAAATTTGTAATTTTAATGCGGAAACTAAACTTATTTCATGATTTGGTCAAACCATCTAACTTGTATTTTTGATATTATGACCCTGTTTGCCCAGGGCTATTTTAACTTATTTTAGGTTAAAATTTACAAAAATATGGAATAGGCTAAAATAACTAATAAGACAAAATGTCAAATCAAATCCATAATCATTTCACTTTTTATCTTATAAATATCATATCCAACTAAAAAAAATCCAACGATCTTTCCAAACACAAAAATTTTAGCCTGTTAAAATAACCAAAAATTAAAATAGCCTACTAAAATAATCAACTTCCCAAACAAAGCCTATGAGTTCTATTACAGTCACATATATTTTTTACAACATTTCTTGTTATTTATTCACAATAATTTATTGTGATTATCCTGCTCGTTTGCTTCATTTTCTATCCAAGTCCACTCTTCCCGTTTGCTTCATTTTATACTTAAGTCCAATTCTTTTTTTTCTTTTTTTGGCGCGCCCCCTTGGCCCGCATCCAAAAAATATAATTTTTCATGTTATAATTAGTTTTTAAATATATAAATAAAATCTTAATAACAAAAATCAATATAAAACAAATTTTGACATTTCAAAATTATCAACAAATATAAAAATACAACAATTCAAGTCTTAAAATATGAAAACAAAATTACAATAATACGAATATTAAGTTGATCAAATCTCATTAGTCTAAAAAAAAAAAACCCAAATGGATTACGTTTAAAATCATAATACTTAATTTCTTTTAATCAATAATTCGTTAGTGATTATAGATAAAAAATAATATTATCATCTCTTTTAAATTAATATGTATATTTTTTTTTTCTTATTTATTGTTGTGCCTTTACACTATTTGTATTAATTTTGATCCATTTAACCTTATGAAATGGATATGTAATTATGTTAAAATTATAAGACTTCTTGTATTTTTTTTCCTAAACTGCAAGATGTTAATATAATTTACCGAGTAAATTACACTTTGTCCTTTATGTTGGGTCATTTTTCACTTTAGACTTTAAAATTTTTCCCTCGATTTTAGCCCTTCGTATTTTAAATTCTTCTCAATTTATCCCTAAAGTTAATTTCTATTCAAAATTAGCACATGACATAAAAAATATAATATTATATTAGAGTTGGAGTGTGCCAGAGGTGTAAATTATATATAATAAACTATTTTATGCCATTAATTGCTGATGTGTTATTGTCTAATGTTAAATATAAATTATTTTTTTGAAATAATTTAGAAAAAAATTAGAAACATGAGAATGGAATGCTCCAGAAAAGAGAAAAAAATAAAATAAAACAAAATTTAAGGGGCAAAGAGTAATTTACCCGTAATTTACACCACATAATTTTGGAAAATTTTATTTGCTATAAATTCTTAATGCACATCATAAATTATGAATAAAAATAAATTGCTAAAATAAACATTCCATTTAATTGTTTATATCAACACATTTGATTTATATTCATAAATTTATATTTAAACATTTAATTTTTATTCAAAAATTTATGTCTGAACACTATTTGTGGTGTGTATTGAAAATTTGCATGGTGTGCAAATAGATTAGGTTTGACTTCTCTCAAGTTGGCCATCGCAACTTGATAGAGCATTTGAGTTTAATTGGCCCATTTTGAGACCGATTTGAACCGTTCATTTTTTAGGTCTCGTCGAGTAAAATATTTATATAAAAAATCAAGATGCTCGAATATCGATAGTTTTATTTTGTAATCAAATTTATATTACAAGAAATTGATGGTTAATTTTAAAATTATATTTGTCGTCTATTTTTTTAAAACAAATATGATTCAGACATATAGCTATCAATATCCAATCATCTTCATTTTTTGCACTAATAGTATTCTCAACGAGTTTTAAAAAGTGAATAGTTCAAATTATCTAAACCGGTCTTAAAATGGGCCTACTAAGCCAAACGCTTTATTAAATTGAGATGACAACTTAAGATAAAACAAACCCAGCTATACCTCATAATTTTTCATTTTTTCGTTGCACATTTAGTTACGACCTTTGAGTCAATGGTTATATGACCTACTATGTTCTTTAGTTATGACACATTGTGATGTTGTTTGTAATAAAATTTTGATTATGATTCAAAAATTATTTGGTTATATCTCATTTGATGTTTAGTTATAAGTAGGGATGGATATTCATCAGCCGGGCAAGCCGTAGATAACAAGGGACTTTTATGTACCAAAGCCCGGTGATACTAAGGCCAAGTTTGGGAAGACTAAATAAGTGTACTTTTTGACTTTTTATGAAATATGGATTGGGTTTGAGTTGGGTTTGAAATGATGTGTTAGAGAGGTGATGTAACTTAAATAAGATGATGTGAATTAAATAGGATAATGACTTTTTGACTTTTTGAATTTTTTAAGAGTTGCCAAACTTGACCTAAGTTCGACTGAGTTAAAATTATAAATCTCCAAGTCAATCTATTAATATATCAAACTAAAAATGTTAATTTATGTCGACCCTATAAATTAAAACAACTTTCCTAAATCTGAAAAAAAAAAAAAAAAAAAAAAAAAAAAAAATAATTGGAATTAAGGATATTAAAATGATTGTGAACAGGGTTCGGACAGATTTGATCAGAGGTGAAGATATGTTTTTTAGGTCAAATTATATATACCTTCTCGAGATTTAGTTAAATTATAAATATTTTTTTGAAGTTTCGGAAATTACAGATACCCTTTGAGGTTTATATTTTCATAACAAATTGTCCACTGAGATTTATATTTTCATAACAATTTATCCCCTAATTTACTATGCAAATAGTACTTTAAAAAAATATATGTAATTTCTCAAATTTCAAGAAATATCTGTAATTTTATTAAACATCAAAGAGGTATATGTAATTTGCCTTTTTTTTTTTTTATTATAACTTTCATAATATTAAATACTAATATTTGTGATAATCGCATGTGTACGCCATAATAGCCCTGTTTGATAGAGTTGTGGGAAAATTAGGGGTGAGCATGGTCCGGATTGGACCGGATTGGAGTAAAACCAGGACCAATCCGTTATCTACGGATCCTGAAAAATTAGAACCAATCCAATCCGTTTAAATCGTGGAACCAATCCGAACCAATCCATTTAAATACGGATTGGATCGGTTTAGGACCACGGATTTATATAATTAAATAACAAAAATATATATATATATAATACTTTATTTTCATAAAAATATAAATATAACACCATATTAGTTTCACAATAGCAACATGTATTTTTATAATAGTGACAAACTGTTCTAGAATTTAAACAACCATAAAGAAACTAGTTTCACCATAAGTATTTAGGCCATTATAAATTAACACTAAAAACTAGCAAACAAAAGTAATAAAAGCAATTTTTTTTAGGTCAAATTATATATATCTCCTCGAGATTTAGTTAAATTATAAATATTTTCTTAAAGTTTCGGAAATTACAGATACCCTTTAAGGTTTATATTTTCATAACAAATTGTCCACTGAGATTTATATTTTCATAACAATTTATCCCCTAATTTACTATGCAAATAGTACTTTCAAAAAATATATGTAATTTCTCAAATTTCAAGAAATATCTGTAATTTTATTAAACATCAAAGAGGTATATGTAATTTGCCTTTTTTTTTATTATTATAACTTTCATAATATTAAATACTAATATTTGTGATAATCGCATGTGTACGCCATAATAGCCCTGTTTGATAGAGTTGTGGGAAAATGTTTATAACTTATACTTTAACAGCTTATAACTTATAACTATGAACATAAGCTGATTTCTGACTTATAAATTAAGCTTCTCCTGCCCCACTCAAAGAATAAGTTAATTTTTGACTTACAAAAAGGTATAAAGTGTATTATTAAACTAAACTAAACATATCAAAATAGTTTAAATTAAACTAAAAGCTAAAATAAATTGAAATTAAACTGTACCAAACAGTTCCAATATATCCCGAGAATCAGCTGGTCCCAGCCCCCTCTCTCACTCCCAAAGAGCACTCACAGTCCTCACATGGCATGACTTGTGTCCGCAGACCATGTTCTTGCTCTAGCCCTAGTCTCTCTTTGTTTACAAACAAACAGCAATGATATCCTCCTTACAACAACTCACTAACCCTAAACCCTATTTTCTCTACTCTCCCCTAAAGCCCCCCAAAACCCCAAAACCATATCATTATCAGAGGACCAAACCTTCCTCCCGCAACAAAAGCAGCACTAGATCAGTCCTCCAATACAACCGTAAGCCCCAATTAGCCGGAGAAACCCCAAGAGTCGTCGTCATCACCTCCGGCAAGGGCGGCGTCGGCAAGACCACCACCACCGCCAATGTCGGCCTCTCCCTCGCCCGCCACGGCTTCTCCGTCGTCGCCATCGACGCCGACGTCGGCCTCCGCAACCTCGATCTCCTCCTCGGCCTCGAAAACCGAGTCAATTACACCGTCATCGAGGTCCTCAATGGGGATTGCAGGCTCGATCAAGCCCTAGTCCGCGACAAACGCTGGTCCAACTTCGAATTGCTCTGCATTTCCAAACCCAGGTCCAAACTCCCTATTGGCTTCGGCGGCAAAGCCCTAGTTTGGCTCGTTGATGCTCTCAAAGATCGTCAAGAAGGTTGCCCTGACTTTATACTCATTGATTGTCCCGCTGGCATTGATGCTGGCTTCATTACTGCCATTACTCCGGCCAATGAGGCGGTTTTGGTTACCACACCCGACATCACGAGCTTGCGCGATGCCGATAGGGTCACGGGTTTGCTTGAATGTGATGGAATTAAGGATATTAAAATGATTGTGAACAGGGTTCGGACAGATTTGATCAGAGGTGAAGATATGATGTCAGTGCTTGATGTTCAGGAAATGCTGGGATTGGCCTTGTTGGGGGTAATTCCTGAGGATTCTGAGGTGATTCGGAGTACCAATCGAGGGTTTCCACTTGTGCTAAATAAGCCGCCTACGTTGGCCGGTTTGGCATTTGAGCAGGCAGCATGGAGGTTAGTTGAGCAGGATAGCATGCAGGCAGTGATGGTGGAAGAGGAGCCGAAAAAGCGGGGCTTCTTCTCTTTCTTTGGAGGGTAGAAAATTGAGCCCATTCTGAATTTTGTTGCGTTGAATTGAATTTGTGGATTTTTTAGGTTGTGATTTTGGAGCACAAATATTTGGCTTGTGTTTTTAGTAGTAGCTTTTTTCAGGGGAGATTTAAAGCTATGTACAGTGGGAAGGAGGAGGTAAGGTTCGTCTTTTCTTGTTTTGTTGGTTCTACTGTTTTTATTTGATAAGTTGAATTCTAGTAGTGTTTGCAATTAGAAGTGATGTTTGCAGTTTGTGACTTTGTATCAGCTCAATTGTAATTTATGATTCGATAGCAGTTATGATTAGCAAAAGGCATACTTTTCGTCTCCAACTTAGTTGTTCATGTGTATGTCCATTGATTCTTAAAATCCATCAAGATGATGTTGATAATGGGTAACAATAACTCTGGGTTCTATGCTTTCAAAGGTGACTTTAAGATTGCGTTACATCTTTAATAAATTGCCTTCCATAACTAAAATGGATTTTGTTCTTTGGGTGGATGTCTTGATGCATAGAAATTAGACTTCTTTTGACATGTAATAGATATTGAAATTAGTTCTACAACTTGATGATTAGTCACATTTGAGGCCATGGATGTTAAAAGTATTGTTCAGGATTGAAAGCCATATCTTGCTGAGGAGGTAAAATATTTTTATGGCCTTGAAGATTTATTCTTGAAATAAATTTCAATATTGTACTTGGGTTGGAATTTCAATTCCTTGATCAAAAGCAATTTGCAAGCCTCGGTGGAATTTTGCTACACATAAGGTTTACTTTGAAGTTGAATTGTTTTGATAGGTTCATATTCATTTATGCACTTTTAAACCTAGTTTATGACAAGTTAACTGTATATCATGTCCGAGTAGTCAATTTCATCAATTTATTCTTTGTACATATAGAGAGTGTTGGCAACCAACTGTTTAGCTTAGAAGGTTAAAATTTCTATTCACACTGAGCAGTTTCTATCTTAGCTTTGATGATCTGTTTGATTTTTAACTATTGCATGAGTGGGAGATAGTTGAGAAAAGTTGTGGGATTGTTACCCATAAAATCACTTTCACTGGCAGAGCATGACTTTGTTGAAACCTTGTATATTGATGCAGCATAATTTTGTAATTTTGTGATGATCCTTGTGGTTTAAGATAAATTAATGGTCTTGTAGTTCAACGATGTCCATGCTTCATCTTGTTGTTAATGTTGCTGCATCAAGTCTAGCTAGATGCCTTCACATTAACTTGATGGGCTATATATATCATATTGGTTTTGTGCTGTAGATGTAGTGCAACATGACATTTTCAACAAGACAACACTTTTACATCCACTTCACGGGCTTTATATCCTAGTGAGAGTGCTATATTGTCAACAAGATATTTTCAACAAGAGAAACTAGTTTTTTTCAGTCAGTTTTGGATTCTTTTTTTTTGATGCTAGACTCTCATTGTTGTGGAACTTATTTTCTTTGTGTTCTCTCGATACCGTCATGTCTTTCTGAGCCTTCTCCAAAATCACAAGATATTTGGGCTCTCTTGAATGAATCTGTCTAACAGATTTTACTATCTTGGACCATTATGCTTTTAATTTTGGCATCTTGTTATGGATGAATATGAAATGATTTGGATCTGTGCGAGACAACATTTTGAGAAAGTTGTTGGGAGTGAGTTTTTGTGCATTCGAGCATGTCAATTCCTTGAAGTGACACAACACGACAGAATGGAACAAATCCTCTCCACTAGGGCCCGAGTTTCTAACCCTGGTCTTCCGATTCAGATTTGACTGAGGGAAAAGTACCATCTGGAAGGTGAGACAGAAACCCTTGCATAAAAGTTGTAGAAGTTGGCATAAAAGAATTCAGCCCTATTAATTAAACAGTGCATATCATCTGTAGTGTCATGATCGAATGCATGCTGGTGGCTGTTTAGATTTTGGGTGTTGGGCTTCATTTAAGCTGCCTGTGTCTGCAAAGGTCAGCCATGATTTTGAAGGGGGAGTTTCATATTCACACAATTCATGATCCTCTTATTGAAGTTCTGGCCGCGAGGGAGAGCTTGCTCTGCTAAAGAATTGGGTTGAGTTACATTGTGCTAGAACGGGATGCCAACAAGACATTAGGGCTGCAAATGAACTAAGTTGTTTATGAACAAACTCAGTTCAGCTCGTTAAGGGCATGGCTCGGCTCAGTTCGTTTAGTAAACGAACCGAGGTCGAGCTCAAATATTAGGCTCATTTAGTAAACGAGCCGAGCTCGAGTCAAGTTCGGTTCGTTTATCTTTATTTAAATTATATAATAAATATATTATTTAAATATTAAATAATATAAATAATATTAAAAAAAATTATCGAGCCGAGCCGAGCTCGAGTTTCATTAATATTAACGAACCGAACCGAGTTCGAGCTCAGTTCCTTATCGAGTTGAGCTCCAACTCAATAAACGAGCTTGATAAGTAAATGAGCCAAGCTCGAGCTTAACAAAGCTCAGCTCAACTCGTTTGCACCCTAAAACAAATGGTGAACATAATTAACAGGAAGGAGTGATAGGATGATCGCTGAGGCTGAAGGATTATTGATGATATAATACATATTTGACATAGTTTCAATCAATGTGATTTGCATTTTGTTACAGTGCAGATGGAGTTGTGCATTGCTTGATTCATCATGTGTTACCGAAGTCGTACTCATACTTGGGAATGCAGACCTCCCAATTGGCTTCTTTTGTCGATGGGGGTAATAGATGAGTGTCCTAGTTGATGTACATTTTCATCTCTATAACAGGACTACAATTTTGACAAAATTATATATATATTGAAAGTATATGTTCTCTCTTACAAGAAGAAACAAAAATCCCCTTAACACGAAATGGCATCAGTCTAAACGTGCTAGAAATCTCAAAATGAGGGAATGTATGTAGAGAAAAACATGCTACCACAAAACAACACTTGCAAAAGAACATATAGTTGTCAAAGGTTATATACAGTTGCACTGAAAGAATACACCTTTATTGGACAGTTTGTGAACTTTCTTGCTATGTGAATGAAGCCCATCTATGCAACTCTCTCTACCAAAAAAGTTTGTAAGCACCACATCTTTCAGTGTAGGCAGCAATGAATCCGACAGTAGTCACTATTGCCAATTTGCCATTGCCCTATAGAGCCTGACTAGATGAGCCAACTTCCCCTTGCTGTCACCACTATTTTGAAGGCAAATGGCTGTCAGTCGTATAATTTGAATTTCTGAATAAGTTGAAAACTAATTTATATCTGCAGCTTGGAAATATTGGGTCTGATGCCCTATTTCTGTAATATCATCTGTTTCTGCTAGAGCTCCAAATTGAGAAAAATTGTGTTCATGAGTTAATCAGAAGCAGCAGCAGGGATATGAGCTACAAATTAACTCTGTAACCTTTGTTGCAGTATCCGGAGCAGTGTATGGCCCACAGTAGTAATATTGCCTGATAAATTAAACAATCACATTTACTTATCAAAATCGTAAAATAAAATAAATTAAACTATTACATTTAAAACTATTTATGACATACTTTTTCAATATATTAATACAGATGTTAAAGTAGAGTGAAAAGAGATTAGAAGAATAAGAGTTTAAACCCTATGGTTAGCTTGGCTCCTTTGATTATTTAAATTAAGAATATTTTGGGACATCGACTTAAATACCCTCAATAAGACTAAGCTAATGATAATTTACACAATGAACACAGAAAGATAGGAATACATACAGAAAATTAAACCATAAAAAGATATCAAAGAATGTAAATGTCAACATGATAAATCACCAAAGATATCCTCATTCCATTGTATCGTCATCATTTTCACAAGAGGTGAGCTCATTGTGTTTACATATATTCTTGAAACTTTTGGGTGATTTAGTATGTGAAGGTAGACTTATACAAAGATTTATACCTGCTCCAAGTGTTAAGATGGCAGTTGCGCGATCAGGGTCCTTTGATATGTACCGTGCCAATTTATCTACCACATCCCCCTAATAAACCACCAGAGATACTTAAGAGACTAACAATAACCTAAAACGAGAAAGATGCACGGCCAATCATGTTATGTGCGATGATGATGATAATAATAACGAAAACTTTCCTTTTTTGAAATAGCAGATCCCTTACATTCAATTTATGAAACCAACATTACAAACATATTGGAAACCCAACTATTCCACTTAAATAGGGAAACCCTATCACCGAAAACCTTTCTTCAGAGAAACACATATGTTGAATATTCAGTTCCCAAAATTGACATGAAATCAGCACAAGGTAATGCTAACTTAGAAGCATCTTGAAAACACCTTAATGAAGCAAAAGAAGCTTTCAGCTACATCCTAGATCTTTCAATGAGAAAATTTGATTCCTAAAATCATCTAAAAACATGCTTCTTTGCGCTTTCCTGACCAGAGAGATAATTTTCTCTTGCTACATCTTAATTTCATGCATCGAAAATGATATCTCACAAGGTTTCCCTTTATGTTCTACTTCATTAAGAAGACAATAACATAACAGAAATGAAAAACTAGGATTCTTACAAGTTGGAAAAGGGGCTGGGTTTTAAAATTTTCCAAATTTCTTCTCCTTTTCCTACAAATTCCCAGCAATCAAATGGAGTGGTAGGTTTCTTAAACCAGAAAAACAAATAAAAAGAAGAAAATATAGATCTGAGAATTTCATGTACGGATTTGCATGGTACCAAAAGTGAAAAAGATAATCAATATTCCATCCAAGTGGATCCGTATGCATGTCTTTTGATATATATATATATATATATTTCCAACCTAAAAAAAGCATCAAGTTTTGTCTTTGACCACAAAATGTTTTCTAGCATCAATTTCCTTATCCACTATCTTCTGTTTCAATTTCCAGTTTTAAAAACCACGAACAACTTCCAGAGTGGATTGTGCACATTGTGGATAAACCACTAATTTTCATATCCCAGGAAAAGGTAGGAAAAAAAAAGGTAAAGAGAAAGGAGGAAATGAATAGAAAAAAATATCATATGCAGAAATTTAGAACCCGAATATCGTTCTACCAGAGAAGGGATGTATTCAGATGAAGGGCCAATTATAGAAGTAGCTAGATCCCTTCCACTAATTTTCCAAAGATTTGTTTCTCTGGCACCATAAATCTGACATCATAAATTAATCCATTAGTGGCTCCAAATGTTGGAAACAAAAAGGAAGATTGATGAAAGATGTACTCATACCTCAGTAACAACAACTATATCTGCATCACTGAATGCATTCGCAAATTCATTCTTTAGTGCTGCTAGACGACTGCAAATGTCACCAAACAATTGTAGTTGCCCACCACAAAGTAAATGTCAATCTATTAGAGTATAAATTGCTTAAAGAATATCTGCATGATTTCCATTTCATACATGTGGATGTGGGTACCTGTAGGTATGAGGCTGAAATACTACCAATAGATCCTCGTATTGAAACCTTTGCCGAGCTGCTTGAAGAACTGCACGAACTTCCGTTGGATGATGAGCATAGTCATCACAAATATGGCATCCACGAACTCTACCAATCATCTCAAAACGTCTAGATACACCTTTGAAATTATTTAAGTGTAACCGCATCAAATCAACTGATTCATAAATATGCATTTGGTTCCTAAATATAGCGGTTACCGTGGTGATAACCTGCAGATTATGAAGAGCAAAGTGACCAAAAAAATGAATCCACCAAACAGCTGAAAGAAATATGAGGAATCAATTATATTAAAACATGTTAACCATAATTAGTCATAGTTTCAAAGTGAGAAGAAATAAGAGGGAGTAGGGTTCTTACTGAATAGATATAGGGGTTGTTCGGGATGATCTAAATAAATACACTTTTTGACTTTTAACAAAAAAATGTGCAAAAAAGTAGAGAGGTATGTGGCCCAAAAAAGATAAAGATAATAAGTGTACTATTTTAGTACACCCCAAACGAGCTCATAATTTCACATAATCACAAACCTTGAGATGCTGCAAGCTATTTTATAAGAAGAAATGTTCACAAACTAGATAAGTAAGTTACTCACAGCTAACGAGTTAAGGACATTATGAACCCCTGGTATCTGCAGGCTGATGTCTGCAACCGGACAACCCCTATGACACTGCAGAAAACAATCTTTTAACATTTGGAAAAGTTATGATTATCTTGTCTTATATGAAGAATGACTACAACCTAAATATAGCAATATGGGTGCAAAAGAGAGAATCTGAAGCCATTTCTTGTACTGTTAAGATGTTAAAGAAACAAAAGAAGCAAAATATACTACAACATAATCATAATTACCCTGTTCAGGTTGAGAAATTATGACCTACAATTTGGCACTGATGAACAAGTAATAAAGCAAGCGGCCTGAACTGTCACTTATAAAAAAAACATATAAATCACTCCGACTTAAAAAGATAATATCTTGCAAATTTCATACTTAAAACATTTTGGATACAGGTGTTTAGAGCTTTAAACCTTCCTGTTTATGCAAAAAATCATGTTTCAACTATCAGGTGCCAAGCCACACCTGATTGGGAGGATGATAGCCAGATTTATTTTGTATTTTTGTTTTGGGGAGAGAAATATGCATGCTGATCAATTGTTTTTGTATGCATTTTTTTCCAGCAAGTATTTTTGCATTTGATTTAATTAGTTTGCTTTTTCCACAAATTCATTTAAGTGTCAATCTTAAATTATAGCTTTTATCAAATGTTTAACTATTTTTCCATTACATTGGGGTTTTTTTCCAACTGAAATTTCTTTTAAAATTGATTTAAATAAATACCTTGTTTTAAGCCAAATGTGACCACCTTGGTACATCCAATCGAATTGTGGAAAGTATTCTACAAGTATAAGACTTCTTTTTTTTTTTTTTTGCTTTTCATAATTGTAAGGTTTTAGAGAATACAAAATTAGATGTCTTAGAGGATCTAAACCTAAATTCAAAAGTAGCCATACTGCAGGTTTTACTTAAACATTCTTTTGAGTTGTGATAAGCTAACATGTTTATGAGCAGAATGATGGCAAGCCAATCACTATCCAAAGAACCAGAGAGCTTTGATTGGTCAAACTCCTTCGCAAAACATTAAAATTACCAGATGATGGGTCAAAGAAACCCCAGTTTCCCCTCTAGAACCATGATCGTCTAATTGTTTATGTATAGATATCAAGTTAACAAATATTAAGGGGGACCACCATTAAGAAAAGCTTATACCTGAGGAAGAACAAGAACAATAAGAAAGAAAGAATAAATGAAAAGCCTATATTTGACACCTCCATGCAAGCTACATATATATCAAAGACATTTCTCTAGCCTTGGGGAGTCCATGGCTATGGATGGCAATAGGTCGGGTATGAGATGAAGCCACCCCGTCCCAACCTCGTCCCACCAAGGAGCATGTTGACCACAAGTCCACCTGTAGACACCCCATTTTTGACCGACCTTAAGACTCAGACGAAAAGTCGAGTCCGAGCTGTAGCGAGGTCCCCCCGCGGGCTTGTTACACCACCCTAACCCCAACACACAGCTACTCCAGCCCCGAACCAGATAATGTTTCTAAACCCTGATAGCACCCATGTGCCCTGATCATATGACAGAAAGATAGAACAAAGGATCAAACACATACCTTAGAATAAGATCTATAGATTGAATAGATTGAACACAACAAATACTAGTATCACATTTAGAGACCAGGTTAATAAGATAAAAAATTAAAAAATTAAAAAAAAATTATTCATTTTTGTGATTGCATTGAAAGCATCAATATACCCCAAAGAGACGAAGCCCAAACAAAATATTGCAAGAGATTATGCTGAGTTCACTTTCGTATATGTTTATGTGTGCACATATTGCATACAGACAGAGACATGGAAGCATGTGTATATGTGAGTATGACAGGTTCCTAAGTTGATTTCTTGCCAAGGAGTAAAGGACGCCGGACAACGGCGAGGGATAGCAATGTGAGTAAGCAGAACGATTTGATTTTTAAGTAATTTTGATATATAATCAAGCCAAAGTGGCCTTAACCCTGAACCAGCATTGGATTCTAGTACTCTTCTCTAGAACGGGCCCTAATCCATTTAATTTCTCCCCATACCTATCCCATCAGGGACGGGGCAAAGTGGGTTCCCGATTCCTAAATTAGTTGGGCATACTGTAATCCCTAGCTATATGGCCCTTGCTATCCCCAGTCCATTTTGGCAGGATAGTACTACTTAAAAACAAATCTGCAATCTCAAAACTAGAAAGAAAAGGAATCGAAAATCTCTCATCGATCTCAAGCCAATTTAAAGATGGAATATATGAACACATACAAGAACATTCTCAGTGTTGGTCTAGCCAATCAAGTGTGCTGAAAGGGGTGGATTGGGTACCATAAACAAACATTGCATTCCACAAATTTATGTAAAATGGCTGCCTCAGACTTGAACCCTTTGTTCTTCTTACATTTGGTAGGTCAAGCTTCCAGCATTGTGTTAGGATTTGTCCACACATGTGATAAATGTGGATCCCATATAGTTATGAGGTTGGTTTATACATGTAGGTTTTAAATGTTTTGGCCATCTCATATGTATTCTCTATTTTTATCATAGTGGAATCTCTCTTTTGTGTGATTATTTTTCTCTTTAGTGTGTGCATAGGTGGGTGTGTTTTTGTTTGTGTTGGTGGGACGTGGTATAAATTCCCAACAAGTGGCATCAGAGCTAAAGGTTGTCAATCTTAGGTACGATTGGTAGAGGGCGCGGTTACTACACACGAAGATTTGCACAGAAAAGAAAAATCCCAGTGGTACCAAAAAAAAAAAAAATTTTAAAATCCAATGAAGGCAATGCATTGGAGGTATTGATTAATTGGAACGTAGTGCACAGTGGAATGCACAATTGAGGGTTTGGCTTTGTGATTTTGGCTTGTCAATAGGTTATGATCCTGTGTGACAATAAGTATAAAATCAACGGTTTAGAATATTTGTGTTATACCAATGTGTATATATAAAAGAAAAATTCGAGGTGAGAGTTGTTTCCAAGGTTTTCAGTCGCTACAGATTCATCAGTATGGCCAGAATTTTCAAATTCTGAACAAGGTTAAAGGGAATGAGCAGATTCAAGGGCGATCAAAGGTGATTGCATGTGATCTAGGTGATCTAGGAGCAATTTGGTTCAATCAATGATGGAAACCAATCACTGATGGGCAGTTGGTTGGCAACTTGTACAGACTCGTGAAGTATGTTGTGATAAGAAGAAAGTTGTCAAGCATTAGACGAGTAGTACAAGTTATGGGTGAACAGTGGCGAGCAACAGTTGCAAGGATATTTTGATGGCTACCAAGAGGAAGATGACGAGTTGCTGAATGTTCTTAGAAGGAAGCTTCAAGCATAGAACTTGAGATGGTTTCACAACAAAAAGGTGTACACCGAAGGAAGATGGGTCTCTTTTCTATGGAAGTTTGGTTCATGGCACAGGAGACATCTCAAGGAGCTGCATGCAGATCTCATGGGCTTGAGCAACAAGATAAAGGAAGCCACGAATGACATATTTGAGCACTATTGCGTGAGGTGCAAATAACGTGGCCAAACCAAAACATCTAGGTTGGAAGGTGAATATAACATTTACTCTACATGGGTGAAGGGGGTGATAGGCCCAATGTTTGGTTCACACATGAGGAGGAGATTGTTCGAGCATGTGTGAAAGTAGAGTCCCACATCAGATAAAGAATGAAATAAACGAGTCTTATATACATTAGATGGGCTCTCTACTTATAGGCTTAAGCTTTTAAATGAGTACGAGTTCCAAACAATGTATCTTGGGCTTTGATGTGGCGTTTGTGGGCTCTAGAGTTTGTTCTCGATGGATTGGGCCGGTATTGCTATGTGCTTGTGGGCTCCCTAATCACGTAACACATTGCACCAAGCAATGCCACTTGTCTCAAACCAATTTGAAATATTAACTAATTTTCTAATAAAAATATCCTATCCACAAACATTACATCACAATGTCAAGTTATTTTACTACCCATCCAGATTCTTTCCCAAAAAGAAACATAAAAAGCATAGCTTAATATTGTATTAGGTTTACTAGGAAGTAATCACAAATTGACCAACAATTATACCTACCAGTTGATAATCACTTCCACCTTGCAAGTTCGTACGTAAGGATGATGCATGCCATTCATTAAAACTTGAAATACCATAAGTCGTTACTCTGTAGCTATCACTGCACACTTCTGAGTTTGACTTCACAGGGAAAGAATAGTCTGATCCGGTAACTTGATTTCCGTGATCCAACAAGGAATATGCACCAACACTGTGTAGACCTCCCAAAGCACTTAATTTAGAATAGATCATAAATCTGACAATTGTTAACTTATAAGACAGGATTTGTGGCAGGACAAGAACACCAAAAAGCATTAAGTTAGCATCCCAGAGTCCATATTTTCCAGTCCATTGCGTGGATTGAAGCCTTTGACCCAAAAGATGACCAAACCTAGAATTTTAAAATAGATGATAGAAATACTATGCGTTCTATTGACAACATAAGGTGAGATAATAATGTGTGAGGCATAAAGCTACTCTTTTATTGCTTGTGATGCTAAATGTTAAGAAGCTTAAAACCTTAACTAAAATGCTCAAGCAACATGATGGCCAAGTGTAACTGATGCAACAGAACTTAGTTAGCAACAAGTACTGTTCATCAAGAGATGCAACAGGGGATAAAGAGTATGCATTTTGCAGAGAATGCATTTTGCACAGAACAATATTCTTAAATGAGCCAACAATCATCACACTAAAATTTTATGCTGTTTCTTACATGTTTCAAATTCTATGAACTTCCAATAGAAATATGGTTCTCCCCATCACTGAACTAGAACTTTGTCATTGAGAGCATTTATTGTGGTACCTAATATCACTTAGTGAGCTAATATATGCTAAACTCTAATTGTAATTATGTAATCTAGATACGACATAACCTATGTTACCTGGAACGTAGATCGTTTCAATGAGAACGAGAACATGGTACGCCATATATTCTAAAATGTGGTACGATAGGGGTAGACTTGTATATATTATACTTAAGAATTTAAGGTACCTCTAGAATAATTTTTTTATTTTTTATTTTTTTAACTATTAGATATCTAATAAAATATATTTTCTATGAACATTATGACCAACTTTTTGATTTTTTGTCTTATCAAAACTTAACTCACCTTAGATTTTAGTTCGTTATATTTGAATTTTTTCCTCCTAAGGTAACATTTAAGGACATATATTGAAAAAAACTTTTGGGATCGCTTTGGAATACTAAATTTACTGTTTTAGAATGGAAGTGTAACATGTTTCGGAACGTGCGTACCAATACGTAATTCGCTAGGATATTATCGTTTTCTGATAACATAGGACATAACTGTATCTTCTTTTATTGGGTAATATATTTTTATGTTTTAAGTTTCATCATTCACTATCAAATTACCAAGGTGATGGGGTGGGGGGGGGGAGAGGAAACAAAGATTTATGTTGTTGAACCCAAATAGATGAACATGACAATGCAATGTCTGTGTTCAACCATGCCATACTCAGGGAGGCTTGGGAATTGGCTTATTTAGTGGTTTTTTTGGCTTTTTGACTTTTTTATGAGGTGAAAAAGTTAATATGTTTGCAAAGAAATTTGGCTTTTTGCTTGAAATTCACACTTTACCCTTATTTTAGTTGTATGGAAAAAAGTTACATTGGGTATGTTGGTCTTTTACACAGATAGAAGCCAACTTTTTTAGATGCATGCCAAATATGTTGGCTTTTTAAAGTTTTAAAAGGCTTTCTTGAGGCTCGCCTCGCCTCGCCTCGAGGCTAAAACGCATCAAGACTTTGATTTTTAGGCATTACTTCCCAAAGGCTTGCACATCATAGTTTGAGACATGTGCCTTAGGTGCGCTTTGTACGTTTTTTGCGCATAAGCATGTGAGGAGTACGCACATGCAGAGGTTGCCTTGGACTTTTTTTAAACTTAGTCTATTAGATTGTTTAAACATAAAAAAAAAAAAAAGGAATTCCTTTTTGCAACTATATTCTATAGGAAAAATTAAGTAAATAATCAATCAAGAAAAAACATAGTTAATGGCCAAGTGAGATGCTCAATCACTAAAATTAAGAATATAAATTTCACTTTCAGTGAAGGAAAAGTTCCTTCTATGTAGTAAAATGTTCAAAACCTTAAGGAGAAATGAATTTACACCTTTATATTTAATTTTGTTTTTATTTTTTTACCATTTTAAAATATTTAATTTATTCACTAAATATTGAAATTTGAAATTTGAAATTTGAAATGCTTACGCCTCAACGCCCTGAGGCTCACGCCTTGCTTCATGAGGGGTAAAACGCCTCGAGATACGCATTCGCCTTTAAAAACTTTGGTTTTTTAGTGACTCTTTTATTTTTGGCTAAAATAGTCTCTCTTTTTTTTTCTTTTTTTCTTTTTTCCAAACAAGGCTTGAAAATAAGAATAAGCAGCCAAAAGGAGAACTGAGTACACCACATTTGTGAAAGTTAAATTCATTTCACAGCAGCAGCTGCATACTCACAAAATAAATAGCAGGGATATGTTATTTCCAGGATGAGATAATGCTAGCTTATAATCATTCCTCTTGTGGTAGAGGTAGTGAGTATGAGTAAAAGGTCATCATGGAAAAAGGACAAAAAGGAAAGAAAAAAAAAACAGCAGACATTCTTCTCAAAACCTGGTTAGCACAAAATACATAAGCACTATGTGAACAATGTAAATACGAAATTTTACCTATCCCCACATAAAATTAGATGTCCGCCGTCCCTAATTTGCTTCAGGAATCTCCTGAAAATAGTTTTAACAGCCTCCTAATTGACAGGAAAATTAATCATATCAGTCTACACCAAACCAAGAGATTTAAATAAATAAATATTTTGCATTCAATACCGGAGTCACCCACCAACCTCATTTTCAAAGATATCCACATGCTCCCATTCCGCATTTGTTATCACAGCTATATCAGGTAGCAATTCCAAGAAGCAACCATCATATTCATCAGCCTACATTGAACACAAGTGTAAAAATGATGTCCTTCAGAAGCAGAACCAAAGGGGTTCAACATACACAACAATCTGTAGTCTACATACAAAAAACAAAGAGAACAAAAAGTGAAACTTCTAACAAGATACATTAGTCCCAATAATACGCATGACGTGCTCAAATATCATTAGCTCAATGTGTAAACATGCAGCTTCTGCTACCTTAGCATAGGAGAAGACCATAATTGCATTTGCTTTTTGCACAAACCATGGGAAAAATACATATATTCAGCGAAAGAAAATCCATCCTTATAATTTATTTGAAATATCATACTCGCTTGCATTGTAAAAATTCATGCAATCCATTATGCAAAGTCCTAATATGATTGAAAGAAATACCTCTAATACAAAGTTTTGACCACTCCCAAGGATGATATTTCCTCCAAGAAACTGATACAGACAGTTGTAGATTATATTACATTTTTGTTTGCAGGTAAATTATTTATTGCAAGTACAGAAAATAAGTCAGACAATTACCATTCACCCTGTGTTTAAAATACTGAAACTATCTATCAACAGAGTTGAACTCAGTAACAAAAAGGACATAAAAGAAGGGCATGCCTTTGAACTAGCAGAACTTTAGATAAAGGAGGGTGGGTTGGATTTGGAACTACATAGCAGTCTTGAAATTCAAACTGCCTCCAAACCTGTGCATGTTAATATGATACCTGTGGCACGTGTGCCCCAACCACAGCAGTAACATCATCTCCCATCGCCTTTAAGACATATGCAAGCATACTCGCTGTTGTACTCTTCCCTGCAAGAATTTGTTAAGTATGATCCAAGTTTTTGAAGAGTTAATGGGTATGAAACGAGATAGATCAACTATCATGGTACTCTAATTATTCATAGGTTGTGGTGGAGACACAAATACTATAAAAAAATAAAAATAAATAAAATAAAATAAAATAGAAGGTTATAATATAGCTGTTACCATGAGTTCCACTAACTGCAATGAGATTGTAGTGCTCAGTTAACTTGGCCAACCAATAACCTCTCTTGTATCTGCAAGAACAATGGGTGATATGTTAATAAGAAATTAATCATAAAATCAATAGTAATAGCATGTACCTTACTCTTATGTATCTACAGCATACTCACACCGGTACTCCAACAGACTTGGCATATAAAATTTCCACATTGTCTGGAGGAATAGAACTTGACACAACAATGGAATTAGGCAAAGTCAACCCATTATGGTGCTTTTGCATATTGGAAACAGAATGACCTACATGTAACCGTGCACCGGCATCTTCTAGCCCATCCATGAAGCTGCTCCACACAATATCCGAACCACTAACCTCATAACCCTATAAATCAATTCAAATCATTTTCCTTCCAAAATATACACAATGTTCAAACCATCTACTTCTTCAAATTGAGGAAGTTACAATACAATTGCCATCAGAGAGATGATCAAATTTTGAAAAGCTTGAAATTTTAACCAACTAGGACCAATGAAAAAAATAAAAAAAGAAGTGAGCTGTGAGCAGAGTGCAACTATTTTCTTTCCTTTGTTTTCTGGGGAACCAAACAGAGGGGTTGTTAAGGATTTAGGGAGAGAGAGAGAGAGAGCAATTTTACTTGTTTGAGTGCAAGCATGGCAAGAGCAGACAAGCCACAACCGCCAATGCCAACGAAGTGAACCCAACCCTTCTCATTTCGATTGCACAAGTTCACAGCTTCTCGGCTCTGTGTTGCAGAGACTGAGACTCCACGAGCGTGCTCTTTCGAAGTCACGACAGTTGGCCAAGTGCGATTGGTTCGGCAGCCTAGACCGACCTCGCCGCGAAGTGGCAGAGAGGAGGGGCTTCTAGGTTTCCGACGAGAAGTCGCCGGGATGTGCAGCGAAGTGGACGGAGATGTCGCCGGAGACTCCATTTCTTAGGATTTGGAATTTATTTTTTTTTTTGGCTGAATAAGCCTTCGGTTGGAGAGTGTGCTGGTGTAGCAATTCCAAGAAGCAACCATCATATTCATCAGCCTACATTGAACACAAGTGTAAAAATGATGTCCTTCAGAAGCAGAACCAAAGGGGTTCAACATACACAACAATCTGTAGTCTACATACAAAAAACAAAGAGAACAAAAAGTGAAACTTCTAACAAGATACATTAGTCCCAATAATACGCATGACGTGCTCAAATATCATTAGCTCAATGTGTAAACATGCAGCTTCAGCTACCTTAGCATAGGAGAAGACCATAATTGCATTTGCTTTATGCACAAACCATGGGAAAAATACATATATTCAGCGAAAGAAAATCCATCCTTATAATTTATTTGAAATATCATACTCGCTTGCATTGTAAAAATTCATGCAATCCATTATGCAAAGTCCTAATATGATTGAAAGAAATACCTCTAATACAAAGTTTTGACCACTCCCAAGGATGATATTTCCTCCAAGAAACTGATACAGACAGTTGTAGATTATATTACATTTTTGTTTGCAGGTAAATTATTTATTGCAAGTACAGAAAATAAGTCAGACAATTACCATTCACCCTGTGTTTAAAATACTGAAACTATCTATCAACAGAGTTGAACTCAGTAACAAAAAGGACATAAAAGAAGGGCATGCCTTTGAACTAGCAGAACTTTAGATAAAGGAGGGTGGGTTGGATTTGGAACTACATAGCAGTCTTGAAATTCAAACTGCCTCCAAACCTGTGCATGTTAATATGATACCTGTGGCACGTGTGCCCCAACCACAGCAGTAACATCATCTCCCATCGCCTTTAAGACATATGCAAGCATACTCGCTGTTGTACTCTTCCCTGCAAGAATTTGTTAAGTATGATCCAAGTTTTTGAAGAGTTAATGGGTATGAAACGAGATAGATCAACTATCATGGTACTCTAATTATTCATAGGTTGTGGTGGAGACACAAATACTATAAAAAAATAATAATAATAAATAAAATAAAATAAAATAGAAGGTTATAATATAGCTGTTACCATGAGTTCCACTAACTGCAATGAGATTGTAGTGCTCAGTTAACTTGGCCAACCAATAACCTCTCTTGTATCTGCAAGAACAATGGGTGATATGTTAATAAGAAATTAATCATAAAATCAATAGTAATAGCATGTACCTTACTCTTATGTATCTACAGCATACTCACACCGGTACTCCAACAGACTTGGCATATAAAATTTCCACATTGTCTGGAGGAATAGAACTTGACACAACAATGGAATTAGGCAAAGTCAACCCATTATGGTGCTTTTGCATATTGGAAACAGAATGACCTACATGTAACCGTGCACCGGCATCTTCTAGCCCATCCATGAAGCTGCTCCACACAATATCCGAACCACTAACCTCATAACCCTATAAATCAATTCAAATCATTTTCCTTCCAAAATATACACAATGTTCAAACCATCTACTTCTTCAAATTGAGGAAGTTACAAGTGATCTAGGAGCAATTTGGTTCAATCAATGATGGAAACCAATCACTGATGGGCAGTTGGTTGGCAACTTGTACAGACTCGTGAAGTATGTTGTGATAAGAAGAAAGTTGTCAAGCATTAGACGAGTAGTACAAGTTATGGGTGAACAGTGGCGAGCAACAGTTGCAAGGATATTTTGATGGCTACCAAGAGGAAGATGACGAGTTGCTGAATGTTCTTAGAAGGAAGCTTCAAGCATAGAACTTGAGATGGTTTCACAACAAAAAGGTGTACACCGAAGGAAGATGGGTCTCTTTTCTATGGAAGTTTGGTTCATGGCACAGGAGACATCTCAAGGAGCTGCATGCAGATCTCATGGGCTTGAGCAACAAGATAAAGGAAGCCACGAATGACATATTTGAGCACTATTGCGTGAGGTGCAAATAACGTGGCCAAACCAAAACATCTAGGTTGGAAGGTGAATATAACATTTACTCTACATGGGTGAAGGGGGTGATAGGCCCAATGTTTGGTTCACACATGAGGAGGAGATTGTTCGAGCATGTGTGAAAGTAGAGTCCCACATCAGATAAAGAATGAAATAAACGAGTCTTATATACATTAGATGGGCTCTCTACTTATAGGCTTAGCTTTTTAAATGAGTACGAGTTCCAAACAATGTATCTTGGGCTTTGATGTGGCGTTTGTGGGCTCTAGAGTTTGTTCTCGATGGATTGGGCCGGTATTGCTATGTGCTTGTGGGCTCCCTAATCACGTAACACATTGCACCAAGCAATGCCACTTGTCTCAAACCAATTTGAAATATTAACTAATTTTCTAATAAAAATATCCTATCCACAAACATTACATCACAATGTCAAGTTATTTTACTACCCATCCAGATTCTTTCCCAAAAAGAAACATAAAAAGCATAGCTTAATATTGTATTAGGTTTACTAGGAAGTAATCACAAATTGACCAACAATTATACCTACCAGTTGATAATCACTTCCACCTTGCAAGTTCGTACGTAAGGATGATGCATGCCATTCATTAAAACTTGAAATACCATAAGTCGTTACTCTGTAGCTATCACTGCACACTTCTGAGTTTGACTTCACAGGGAAAGAATAGTCTGATCCGGTAACTTGATTTCCGTGATCCAACAAGGAATATGCACCAACACTGTGTAGACCTCCCAAAGCACTTAATTTAGAATAGATCATAAATCTGACAATTGTTAACTTATAAGACAGGATTTGTGGCAGGACAAGAACACCAAAAAGCATTAAGTTAGCATCCCAGAGTCCATATTTTCCAGTCCATTGCGTGGATTGAAGCCTTTGACCCAAAAGATGACCAAACCTAGAATTTTAAAATAGATGATAGAAATACTATGCGTTCTATTGACAACATAAGGTGAGATAATAATGTGTGAGGCATAAAGCTACTCTTTTATTGCTTGTGATGCTAAATGTTAAGAAGCTTAAAACCTTAACTAAAATGCTCAAGCAACATGATGGCCAAGTGTAACTGATGCAACAGAACTTAGTTAGCAACAAGTACTGTTCATCAAGAGATGCAACAGGGGATAAAGAGTATGCATTTTGCAGAGAATGCATTTTGCACAGAACAATATTCTTAAATGAGCCAACAATCATCACACTAAAATTTTATGCTGTTTCTTACATGTTTCAAATTCTATGAACTTCCAATAGAAATATGGTTCTCCCCATCACTGAACTAGAACTTTGTCATTGAGAGCATTTATTGTGGTACCTAATATCACTTAGTGAGCTAATATATGCTAAACTCTAATTGTAATTATGTAATCTAGATACGACATAACCTATGTTACCTGGAACGTAGATCGTTTCAATGAGAACGAGAACATGGTACGCCATATATTCTAAAATGTGGTACGATAGGGGTAGACTTGTATATATTATACTTAAGAATTTAAGGTACCTCTAGAATAATTTTTTTATTTTTTATTTTTTTAACTATTAGATATCTAATAAAATATATTTTCTATGAACATTATGACCAACTTTTTGATTTTTTGTCTTATCAAAACTTAACTCACCTTAGATTTTAGTTCGTTATATTTGAATTTTTTCCTCCTAAGGTAACATTTAAGGACATATATTGAAAAAAACTTTTGGGATCGCTTTGGAATACTAAATTTACTGTTTTAGAATGGAAGTGTAACATGTTTCGGAACGTGCGTACCAATACGTAATTCGCTAGGATATTATCGTTTTCTGATAACATAGGACATAACTGTATCTTCTTTTATTGGGTAATATATTTTTATGTTTTAAGTTTCATCATTCACTATTAAATTATTAAGGT